AAAGGTATCTGTATTATAACACTGTTCAACAGCATTTTTGCAGAGTAACAATGGTATAAATATTTCTGAAAGAAGTACTTAATCATGTTGATAATTTTTGTAGCCACTCATATCGCTAGTTTAGAGTGAAAAGTTGTTAAGTCCATTTGTAGAAAATTTACAGGGGAGGAAAAAAACTTTTCAAACATCTCCTTCAAGAATTTTCCAGAAGGTGCCGTTGCAAGTTAAAAGATTTAGAATTTTTTGTGAGCCTATCGATTTTTCTGTTCCTCTATTGGGAAATAAAACAAGCACGTTAGTTAGTCCTCTTGGAGACTTTGCGTTTTTAATTTACCTTGCTTCCTATATCCAAATATGAGTTCACAAAAATTGGACTTAGCAACTTTTCACTTCAATCTAGCCATCTGTTAATTAGATGATAATAAGTCTGGCTTTGTAGGACTTTCTTTTCAGTGGTAACTCAACTGACAATCATTTTTAGCTATTCACAATAATAATTAGATTAAAAAATCTTGGTATCGGACGAAAACTAACGAGTATGTACTTGTATTTACTAGTATCGTTTTGTCCCTAGCCACAGCCCAAGTTATGTAAACGTGTTTCTGAATGCTCAGTTTAAATTACTTCAAACAAATTTAATTTAAAATTTAACACATGTGTATACATTTTTTTCAAAACTATTTAAAATCGCTGCTATGGAAAAACTAAATCATGTTGCTTTTTTCGTCCGTCGATTTTAGAAACGGTTCGGAAATATAGAAAAGGGATACAGAGCGAATCAGATCCCATCTGTCGCATTTAGGTCTGGTTCGGTACCATTAAAAAAGGAATGCAGCGAGGGGCATTGACACTTTGTAGGACATCGCAAGGTTGAATTCGACAGTTGCTGACATGCAAAAGAAAATTAACGTGCCTAGTACTTAATGGTTCTATATTCTTTAGTAAAGAACCATTTCGGCACTAGTGCGTTTCCCACAAAGGGTAAGCCCAATGACTTAGACCATTTTCAAAATTATGTAGGCTGAACGACAAGAGGAACGTCAAATTGGGTAAAACTCGAAATAAAACTGTGTATTTATTATATTTCGAAAACCTTGCGTACAAACAAAAAATATGTGATTCCAAATTTCAGGGCATTAGCACTATTGCCATGCACATTAATCTCTGTTCAAATATTTCATTTTTTCTCGACTCAATTCCATTGTTATATACCACATTTTTGAATATGTGCATTTCAGAACACGAGCTGGCCATAAACTGCACAGCAAAAACAGGTCTATTCCAGTGAACGCGTCGTTTACAAACGCTAACCTTCACTTGTTCGGTTACTCAACTCCACCCAATTACGCATTGTAGCCTGAGCACTGACACGCATAATTAGCTTGAAGTCGGTTAGTTCGCCGTTTCTGAGTGGCAACCATTTGTTTTGCTTATGCAATTGCATAAATCTGCAACAAGTGTAGTATTTGCAACAATTTAACGCCATCAAATGCACTATTTCAAAAATATAATATAAATTATCAAAATCAAAATATCGATTTGAAGAGGTAAAGTCTTTTATTAATATTTGAGGATATAAAAGCGACCTATATGGTAAATGCACACAATTGCGGGGTAGTACGTTATTCCGTGGAATTCCGATTTTTTTAGTTAAATAAGGAATTGGTAGAATGTTTGATCAAATAAAAATTACCAGCATAAACTTTAATTTTTAAGAATTAATAAGGTCTATTCTGACTGTACTTATGGATTATATTTATATAATATCAGGCAGTCTATAAGTTGTAGTTCGGAGAATTAACATCATGTAAGAGATGTCCTAGGCGAAGTGTTAACGACTGTAGTGTATTTTCTTAAGGCTGTAAAAATTTAACGATAAGTATTTTTCTCACTATGACTATATTTTAGTATTCATTAAACATCTGTTAATTGTTTGGGTAACTGCTAAATTCGTCCCGGTAGATTTAATTACCTTAAAAGTGATATTTCTGATTCACGGAATTATGTACATATTTCGTTTACAAGGTACATAATTCCGTGCCTAACACGGAAAAAGGGCTTTTCAACACTTTACATTTTTCCTTATTTTGATTAAATTCTTACAAAAACTATCTCACTAATTCTTTTTGTCATTAAATTAAACCCTAAAGAAATTGTTGAGGTATTTCCTTGCTATAGTTTTATTAACCTAAACGTTAATATTTTAATGGTAAATAGCTGTGATTAACTACACTCTAATGAATTATTGACATTATAGAATTTTTGTTATTTCTATTATTTACAGTAAAATGTTGAAAATGTATCAAAAATTTAATTCATTATCATTATTTAGAGATCATATTGATAATTACAAAAAAAAAAACACGATGATATGTAACAATTTAAGGTTTAAATTGCTGTCACGGATTTATGTTCTTTCAATTGTACATGTTCTTTATTCCGTGCTATACCACGCATTTACGTTAAAGCTGTAAGAAGAGAAGGACGTATTTGCGGCGCAACATTTTACACTAGCATTTCCTTGAATTCGGTTCAGAAATTATTAAAAAAAGCGCTTATTTTTGTTAGTAAATAATTTAAAATTTGTGTTCCACTCGCTGATTATTACATTAAACGAGTATAATTTTATTTTACATAAAAAATGGCAAAAAATCGCCACTCAAAATAAGATTTGGCCGCAGCTCTGAATAATATCAATGATCACAAATTTAGTATATGTATATAAGCTGCAAAATTATACAAAATACATGATCAGAAGCTAAGGACCATTTCCTCAAGTAGGTTTTAAAATTTATCAGCCCATTAGACACAAATTTTTAGAGTAGAAGAGTGTTACTCATGTGTTCATGGCTTATGATTAACATGCTTTCTTGATCCTTTTTCTATAAAAAATCTTTCCGTATTGTCATTTGATAGCTAAATGTTTTTATTTGTCCCCTGTTAAAGTTTTCATTTTTCTATTTACAAAAAAAAAATGGTTAGCGCTTCTGACTTTGCACATCGATGAAGCGGGTTTGATCCCTGCTGAAGTCTAGAAAAAAGAAGTCTGATGAGGAGATGTGGTGATCTCCGAAATAGCTGCTATAACTTCTACCGTTTAGACTTTGTTGCTTTTTCAATTTTCTCTAATAAACAAAATCGAGGTACGAATCTCAATAACAATATTAAAAAACAAAAAATTTTGAATGTTTAAATAATTTCTCAGAAACTATCAGGCCTATTGAAAAACAATGCGTACACGGTTTATGGAGATATTTTTTCTTTCATATGCCATATTTTGTACTAAGGTTGCTTAATTGGTCCGTAAAATATATGTGATTAAGTGGAACCACTTTTTTACCTGAATAACGGTAAATTGCAAATCTCTCGGGCGATTCTACATAGGAACTGGATAGGGGCTTCCTTGGAGCAAAAAAAATTCAAATTTGTGCTCCAGTGTTAGTTACGAGGAAGAAAAATTTCCCGGTATAGTAATGAGTATAATCGATGACCAATCAGGAAAAAGATACAAAGTCAAGACGATGAAAATGAGTGGAACAAATTGCCGCTGGCCTGACAAAGTGGACGTGCTCATCTATGATGCTTCAGATGTCATAAGAAGATTGGAATCACCAGTATTACTTAAAAACCGTGGAGTTTATGCATTTTATGATTTAAGTAGTTGGTAGAAAAAGAACTGCTATTGCATTGTACTAATTATTCCATTGATTTTATATTTTTGTTTAAGTTCGGAGCTAGTCAAATAATTTTTAAGAACATTGATTATTATTTATTTTGAAAGTTATCTTAGAAATAACTTTTATTTGTGATTAAGTTCTTAAAAACACAATTTGTACGAATTAAAATTTTCGGTAAATACAAATTTTGATTTGTGCTTAAATTAAAATTATTTTTTTAAGTTAAATAATAAAGGTATCATCATTTTTATAACATTAAATCTGTATATTTATTGCATGGCCGTAATTAGGAACACATTATCACGGAATTAGTTACATCAAAGAATTTTTGCCACGGATTTAGACATATTAAGGTGTCATTAAATTTATTAATATACATTATAGTTCTAGTTATGTTCCTTTACCGATAATTGGAAACTAATCTTAGTTGATCGATTTAAAGGTAAGATATTGATTTTTTAATTTACATTTGGTAGTTTCAATGCAAAAAAATTAAAACGTCAGCAAAATCCTTAGTACCCCGGAATTATATACATTTACCTTAAAGATCTACTGAGCTGGTCCCATAAAAATTTACACCATCCTTATTCCATTATGAAACTAGGCATTTGAGAGGGTGTCGTGTTACTGATTCTAGTCGGAGATGATAGCCGATCCCTGAAGTAAGAGAGCCATTGACCTAGTTTGTACATGGACAATCACACAATGTTTTCCTGTAACAAAACCTCAAGTCCTATCATGTAGTCTGTGAAACTTCTCAGAACCTCTCGTCTAAAATTCAGAAATCTTTCCGAAATTTCTCTAGAGGACGTTATAAAGTCATTAGGGGCTTTTCCCTTCAGGAGCCCAGAAATACCATATAACTCAATTGGGACCATATGTATAAACACCGTTGGGGTTGTATGTATACGCGAATGCGCCGCTCAGTTGCCCGCCGGGCAGACGCTGCCCAGCTGTGATCTAAATGCTGATGTTATTTTGGCGGTAAGGGCTCGATATGCATTTAAATCAATTTTAGTTGTTTTTAAGGCTACCAACTTCAATTGAAAAACCCTTATAATCATCAAACTGGGAAAACTGAGAAATTGCTTTTCCATATACAATCCAGGCGTTCAGAAAAACTTGGTTTCATCAATTCCCCAGCCACCTGCCGAACAGTGTAATTATTATCAACTCTCGCATCCACGATATTAAGGGAGCCAATTTTGATTTATCGCAATTATCAAGGCAATACTGTACAAGCTCATAGTTAAATGTTCAATTCGTACTCATATTGGATATTGTTTTTATTTGTGAATGTATTGATGCATTTTTACGACTCACCTGTGCGCAAAATGCTGTAAAAATTAATCCAATGAGTAAGTTTCGTTGTAGTTGCAAATGCTGCTTCTGTTGCTGCTGTTGTTTGCTGCTTGTAGTTGTCTGTATTGTTTTTTGTTGATTTTGCTTTTGTATTCGATAAGTTGTTTGGATACTCGCTTCGAATTCGCCAACTCCACACGAAGTGGCTGATTGTGTTGGTGCCATATTAATTTTTGTTGCATTTGTTGTTGGTTTTGTGGCAACCTTTTTAGCAGACAAGTCGTTGCTCATTTTGCTGGCTGTCATTTTCAGGCGTACGATCAACACTTTTATTCACTTTTTAATAGAACTGATTTTTAATTTATTATATTTTTTCTTTTCGTTTTGGTATAATTTTTGTAGTATCTACGTACGTATGTAGATATATAATTTCACTTTTTTGGATACATATGTATATTGCCATGAATAATACGTAATGCAAATTTTGTAGATTTTCGTCGATTTTAAGTAAAGGTTGTTGAAGTCTTAAGCACGTCCACTTTCATGATTACGCGAATTTCAACTGGTTTTTAGCACAATTTTTATTTTAAAACCACGTTTCTCACTTTTTGATATGTGTATAAAATTCGTTATTCAACTGCTAATGGCGATAACAAATAAAAATATGTAAGTACGTAAATAAAAATAAGCTTAGTATGTATATGCCCATATTGAAATATCCAAACACTATGTATTACTCCAAAGTAGTTTTTTAACTGCCTCAAGCTCTGCGAAAAATGAGTCAAGAGAGACTGCTGTCTTTATATCACCAACATTTCATTCGCACAAGTATGAGTGTGGCGTTTTTATGGTTTCACATTTTAAGCCTCTCATTTGCCCAGCAACTACTTTTACTGATCAGTCGCTTTTGCAATCTTACACATACATACATATCTAGGCTTGACTGAGCATTTTATTTACTTCAGTGCGATTATATGTAATATGTATAGCAAAAATGTATGTAATTGAATTCCATCAGTTGCAGTACAAAACCCTAACTACGAACCAAGAGAGTACGACAAAAGTATTGATCGCAAACGTCAATCTGACAGTAACAGTAGTTGTTAAAAACACTCACAACCCAGGAGACGACATTAGGTTTGTTCCACATGCTTTTCGGGTTATTTTGGTAATTAGAGCGTAAAAATAAGTTACTCTCTCACAAGTGCCAAAAATGTGTCCACCCGCGCTAAAAGTGCCCAGAGCAAGAGGAACACACAAAACCACTTTTCGTGTTCGGAATTAACAAATCAGTTCTAAACAATGATTTGTATGTGTATTTATCTTATGTAGCTAATAAAATTAGCAAATACCTACATTTCTGAACCATTAGTGCTATTTTCCGTTTTTGTATTTTACAAAATTTGCTATCGGATGTAAACAAACAACGGCTGTTATTTCAAACTAACTTCTTGCACATTTCTACCCGGAAAAAAGTCCGGGCTGTTTGTATTCGCTCTCTATTACCCACATTTCTAGCGTGAAGAACGCTTTATGGGCTGTTTTTGGCAACCGCGGGCTCGTGTGGAACAAACTTATTATCTAGTTCGTTCTCTTTTCTCGCTCTTTGAATCGTTAACTTTTAATTTTTTTAATAGTATTTACGTTTACTACACGTATGTATTGATGTATGTTCTTATGTATGAGTGTGTATTTAACTATAAATGCATAGTATGTGAATATGCAGATTTACCAGTTAACTGCTTGGCATTCCAATAAAAAATTCAACGAGTCACAAGTTAGTTATTATGTACATATATACATATATAATTCTTCCTGCAAAATATAAATAATTATTTTGTTGTACTTTTTACATATTTCTTAGTTATTTGCCAATAATAAGCCCTACTTAGCGCGTGATTGTCAGCAATTGCCTGGGTTTTTAGTCCAAAGTGTGCATAACTATTTTACTATTTAATGAGTAATGAGGTTTAGATTTTTTTATCAAACCAAATTAGTTTTTTATTCATTGGACAGTCAATATTCTTTGTAGCGTTTCTATTAGTGCTGCCCTGTGGATGCGGCATATTTTGGTTCAAGAGTTTCGATCTCACATAGGTCAGCTTTTTGCTTGGAGAAAGGATCCTTAGAGTGCTGTAAGCAATCTGCCATAACGTACTACGTATCAGGGAAGGAAAATGAAATTTTAACCAAAAAGCAAACGAATGTACCTAAAAGATTAGTACTTACAGACATATGTACATTTTGATACACAGTTAACATCACGTAAAATTTGTTTAACAGTGCGAAACTACGAAGCTCTACGTTAAGCTCTGTTCAAACTGGAAGGACCGTTCGAGGCCAAACAAAGTTTTAAACAAGGCGAGTCATTATCCTGCGTCAACCATTGTCTAAGCGCTGCACCAATTTGTCACCATTCACTGGTAGCTCTGTTGACGATACATTTGTACGCCCACACCCTCCATATAATCCCGGCACTCACATTCGCTAGGTGTGTTGGCATGTCGCCAAAACGTTGATTCAACTGAGATATTGACAAAATAGCCTCGTTCAAAATTACAAATTTTTCAGCAGAGCGAAAAAACATATTAAATGCTTTCCACGACATAAGTTTATTACAATGCACATTAGGTCAAATGATTAATTTGGCTGTGCGAAAGTCCAATTTCGTAAGGGCAGTTTTACATTACTTTTTGTCGTCATTCTATAGGGAATACACCAAAATAACATAATCTTCACTTTGTTTTTGTAAAACAAAAAACACCGTTAGACAGCAATAAACCAAAGTTACACTTTCAAAACGTTATTGACACGTTGTTTGCGCAACCGCACAGTGCCGCTTAAGTGGGCATAAATCGAAAAATTCGTTATCTGCAATGTGAACTTGTTTGGTATTTCTGTAAAGATAATTTATCCACTAAAAAGAATTTAATAGACATTTCCCTAAAAAAATAATTATATGCCACCAGGAAGCCACTAAAGTCGACAAATTTTATACTAAGAATTTTAATAAAAGCATAGCCAGGCGTAAGCTCTTCACAGAAAAAAATGTCAAAAAGATATTCTTTAAAATAAAATGTTGGTTCGACATTTCTTGTTTCCATATAGATAGTAGAGAATTACAGGAATAAAAATTTTGGGATAAAATTAAACACAGGGTGTCCTTGTGGCGTTCCAAAAAAAAACGATTTTTTTAAACAAAATTTCAAAAAATGCTAAATTTTAATGGAGTGAATAAAAAAATATATGTAACAATAGGTTATTTTTTACTATTTTATTAAATAGTACAGAATTTTAGCTTTCAAAAGAAGAAATAAAAACCTGCTCATCTTTTGCACTTTCTGAAGTAATGCGTTTTTCGCTAATGCATAAAATAATATTTTAATTTTTGTCAGTGCCTTGAGATCTGCACGATTCGTTCCATTTTCAAAAGTGAAGTGTCAGATTAAAAATCTTAACCTGTGGACAATAGAAGGTTAATTTTTTTTAAAGAGTTGCCACCTGTTAAAAAATTAGATTGTTAAAAAATATGATTCAAATCTTTTTGTAAGTTAAATGAATTATTGTGAGATGGGTATCAATCGAAATGTGTATTAACTACATGTAGAGAGTTGCCACCTGTTTAAAAAATCAAAATCCACTTGAATTAAAGGAATTAGGTGATTGAAATAGATAGGTATCACCATAAGGGAGTCAGACGAAAGAGGGTTAAGAAGGTTTCAGCTAAAAAATATTACGAATAGGGTTGCCACCTGTTTGTAAAGTCGAATTTAGCTAAAATAAAATAATAATTACGTCAAACCATAGGATGACACCATCGTCTTTGTTGTTTTAGTACAAATACATACATTGTCAATCATTGATTTGTTCTGATTACATTCCTTTTAAATTACTGGACTCTTAAATTAACTCAAGAATGTTTTTACTCTCCACTTATTTCTTGCTAAATATCTCAAATTTTTTCATTTGTCTTATACTCATATTGATATACATATTTCAGCTACCTTATTCCCTTAATTAAAGTGAATTTGATTTTTTAAACATGTGAAAACCCTTCTACGTGTCATTTAGAGGTAAAGTATTTTCAAAACAAGTAAGAAAGTCTAAGTTCGGGCGGAGCCGAACATTAAATACCCGGCGCAAGTATTAAATATATGTTTTTCACCCTTCCGAAACCTTCCGCTAGATGGTAAGCCGAGGTGTATCAATTTTGAGTAAATTAGCGTCCTTCAATTTCGAAATATTGAAGTTTCAAGCATTTCTTAAATTTACCGTTATATGAGAATCGGCCGTTATTTTAGTCCGATTTCAATAATTTTCAACGTTTTGCTTACACGTGGCAAGTACAATAACCATACCGAGTTTGGTACAAATTGGTAGAACGGTTACCGATATACTTATATGTGATCATAAGTGGGCGGTGCCACGCCCATTTTCCAAAATTTTACCATAAACGTATTTCTTGGTAAAGAATTGTTGCAAGCATCAATTTTGAATAAATTAGCTTCAATATTTAATGATTTATCGAAGATTTTGTATTTCTCTAAATTACCGTTATATGGGATGTGGGCGTGGTTATTGTCCGACTTTAAAAAGTTTCGGCGGTTTTTTATGCTGTACCAAGGCCAACAACTGTGCCAAGTTTGGAAGAAATTGGTGCAGCGGTTACCAAGATATACACATGTAACCATAAGTGGGCGTGGCTACGCCCATTTTCCAAAAATTTATAATATTCTTATTTTTCGTCTAAAACTTATTATAAATATCAATTTTGAGTGAATAATCTCCAGTAGTTACTAAAATATCGCAGTTTTCGTATTTCTGGAAATTACCGTTATATGGGAAGTGGGCGTGGTTAAAGTCCGATTTCGCCCATTTTCAATACCAACCTACCTTGGATTAAGGGAAACCTACATACCAAATTTCGTTGAGATATCTCAATTTTTGCTCGAGTTATCGTGTACACGGACAGACGGACAGACGGACGGACAGACAGACATGGCTTAATCGATTTCTTTTTTCATCCTGATCATTTATGTATACATTTGTCTATATCTATCTCGATTCGTTTTGGCTGTAACAAACAACCGTTATGTGAACAAAATTAATATACCCTTGTGCACAAGTGCGCTCGGGTATAACTAGTTCAATTGATACCCATATTGTAATATCTAATTCATTTAACTTATTAAATAATTTTAATAAAATTTGTAACAGGTGGCAACCCTTTTCAAAAATAAAAAACTTTATTGCCCATTTACAGGCCAAGCCCTGTCATTTCACGCCTCACTTTTGAAAATAGAAAGAGCTATATGTACATACTTATGTAAAAGCCTCAAGAACCCAAATTTTCAACTTCAAACTGCATTTACAGTGAAAGTATGAAAGTTATCCAAAAACCAATTGCAAAGTTTGTGGCTATTGGGATTATGCTGACCAAGCTGGATGGATCTGTCTGCATTTGGTTGGCGTAATTGCAAGCTGGAAAACATTCCTGGAAAATTAATTAGTTGTTATGTACCGAAAATTATGTATACATATGTACCAATGTACTTTCAAACTAAAAGCTTAAACAGACGGCAGTGTTGATCCGGATCAACGCTGCCGTCTGTTTATGCTAGAAGATAGGGCTGAAAAAAT